GGATATACTAGGCCTGGGAGGAATGTCATATACTGAAAGATTAGAAGAAATAAATCCTTTTAGCTTAGAACAAAGAAGACTGAGGGGAGATTTGATCAAGGCGTCCACAGTTTTTTTTAAAAAAAACAAAGATCGACAAAGTCATTCCAGTCCTTTTCTTCAGAATGAACACAGAGACCAGCACCAGACAGTGTAGATCGAAGTCAAATGCAACTGCATTCCAGACTAGGAGCAGGAGGCACTGTTTTAGACAAAGGATTTATAGAACAGCCTGCCCAGTTACATTGTGAATGCTGAGTCACCGAGAGTGTCAAAGAAAAATCTTAATGGGGTTCTTGGGTCATTAAACTGTTAACAACCAGAAAAGCAACGTGGGGTGATATTGCTTTTGTATATTTAAGTTTTCTTATCTTCTTATCTGTCACTGTCTCTGATCCAAATTGTACGTACCTAAAGCTTAAAATATTGCCATAACTAATACTCGTAAAATTATACAGTGAATTATACTGCTTCATCTATGAAGAAAGCGTTATAGAATGAAAGCCGTGGTAAAACAAAATGAAATAAACAGGTGTGCACAGTGGTCTGGGTTCCTGGGTTCAACCTGGGCTGTTATTTGCATGATTGCATTTTCTCTCCATGTTCACGTGGGTTTCCTCCAGGTGCTCCAGTTTCCCCCCACTGTCCACAGACATACTTTTTTTTAAATAATGTTTCTTTATTAGGCCTATACAATTTCTTGCATTAGGAATTCGTCTTTTTTTCCCACATACCCTAGCTTTTCTCCATGAGACACACAGACACACAGACAGGGAGAGAAGCTGGGGGTCAGAGCGCTGGGTCAGCCATTGTACGGCGCCCCCAGAGCAGTTGGGGTTAAGGGCCTCGCTCAGGGGCCCAACGGAGTAGGATTCCTCTGCTGGCTCTGCGGGATTTGAACCGGCAACCTCCCAGGTACAGGCGCAGATCCTTAGCCACAGAGCCACCGCATAGCTACAGACATACTGGTAGCTTAACTGGCTCGTGGGAGAGAACTGGCCCAGGCGTGAGTGTGTGCCTGTGTTTGTGTCTGTCTGCCCTGGGATGGGCTGGTGTCGCGTCTGGGGTGTACCCTGCCTTGTGTCCGTTGCTTTCAGGGATAGGCTCCGGCTCCCCAGTGATCCTGACTCGGATGAAATGGTTAGAAAGTGGATGGAAGGATGAAATAATCAAATAATTACATCAATAGATAGACAATACTGTATGTATCACAATAGCTATAAGAATGTCAGTTTAAATAAGCATGTTGAAGGTGAGATGCATTAACAGAGACTCATTATTTCTCATTTAATATGGAATATGTTGTAATCAAGTTATAACTAATGGGTGTACTGTAGTAGTTTCTACATAGTGATCCTTGACAGGACTGTCAAAGTTAGTCAACGTTCCTTAGATGAAAGAAAGACATTAAGGTAATGGGCTAAAAATTCAGAGCAAAAGTTAGACAAAGTTTACAAAAGCCCTGTATATTTCCCATTTTCGAACAATACCTTGTACAATAGCCATCCTAAGGCGACGTGATTTTCACAGTTGTTGACGTAAATAGTAACAAGACTTTCTTATCATTGTTCAGTTTGCAAAAGAATTTGTAACATCCAAAATTTAAATCCAGACACATCCATCCCTGACTTGGTTGTAAGTAAATCTGAGTATCATTAGTATAAAAGGGGAAATGATGTTGAAAACCATGGCTAAATGGAAGAATATTCAGTGTCTGCTAATCTGATGAAGTCCTAGTACAGACCCCTGGGGAACACCAGAGGACATCAAACATATACTGTAGCCGACCTGTAGAAACAAATTGCATTCCTTCAAGGAGAAGAGCAACCCACTGAAGGCACTATCTGAAATTCCAAGTAAATTCTCCAGCCTAGAAAGATATTTTCTGTTGTGGTTAAAAACTTGGAACTGCAGTGTTAGTAGTTATATTGAGTTGCTAAAAGTTTTTACTATTGGGACCTTAACCCTCTGGTCAAAAACGTAAACCAAAGTAATTTACCATTCAAGCTTGAAAACGATGGCTATTGTAAAATTTACTTTAAATATAAGTTCGTCTATTAATTCTGTTAAAGTTGTGGACTCCAAATTAAAAGACCCGTTGTCTTTTATGACGCTTGTGTGTTCTTTAGTGGCAAGACAGTTTTATTTTAGATTTTTATATATTTGACAGCCCCATCAAAGTGGAAGAGGATCTCTGCAGAACTGAATTTTTGATTAAGAGAATGAAAAAGTGAATACATAGCAAGGGGCTGTTTCATCATTGGGATGAAGCAATATTTACCTCAGGCTGTATTTTCTCACACAGCCCTTTATAGTTCTCCAGTCATTTTTTTAGTTGGAACTGCCACAAGGATATTTAAGAATTTAATCAATCATAAAGAGATTCTGCTTGCATCACTGGTATTTTTCTTTTGCTAACATATAAGTGCTAGTGTAATAGAACTGATTTCAGTGCTTTCTGTTGTTTATCAAAGTTCTCCATAATAAGATCACTGGAAAGACAATTCCTTTGCGTAGAGTATTTATTCATGGGGAAAAACAAATTGAATCATAAACCTTCACGTCATCCTCAGACTGCTACAAGTGCAGTATTTCACAGTAATCACATTAAACAGTCATTCACAAAGCTAAACGCTCCTGCAAAACTTAGTTGTGGTTACCTTTATAATGTCAGTGCTCTGAAGAGGTTCCTATATGGTGGACATACAGTATTTGTATGCTACATGATCCATACACTTAAATTAGTCTGTGTTTCCTCAGGAATAGTTAATGAAATACAGTATAGGTCTCAGCCTACATCCAACAAGCACCTTTCCTGACTGAAGCACTCCAGATCCCTTTTTGGTATACTTGTGAATCTCCTTCCTTTGTTATAATTTTGAAGTTGCACTGCACCTTATTAACTGAAACTGTACCTTACTCGTTTTACAATATAACATAATTAGTGTGTCATTATTTGTTAAGACAATTATTTCATTAATGATCCATTTCCAGGAGATTTGGAGGGATATATTTGCATAATATACAGTCATTTGAGTGCGTACAAAGTATGATGCCAAATTATTAATCGCCTTAAGTTCAGCTTACTGAAGTGTATCAGTATCCAGTACGTTTTTTGTTTGTTACCAGTATTCACACACAATATTCACTAAATCTAACAGTGCAGGGAAATTAAATTCTAAGTCACCTGTAAATGTTAATTAAAAACTGATACAGATATAAATGAACATCATCAAACTGTACATCTGGTTATATAAGTGTTGCCAAGGTTGCTGAGGTGTTCAATCAACTGAACTTAAAAAATGTTAATCTTATTTGTGTATTTGAATCATCTGTGTCACGTATAATATTTTATGTAATTATTGCAATTGTAATATTTATTTTGAAGAATGTGTAGACACAAACAGGAAAAAAACATATATGAATTCTAGGAAATACCTAGAATATGTATTTTTGTATGCAGGCAGCACAGTGGCACAGTGGTTAGCATTGCTAGGACTCTGAGTTCAGCCCCAGACCTGGTGTGCTATACAGTATGTGCAGAGTTTGTATATTCTCCCCATTTATATGTGGGTTTCTTCTGGGTCCTTCGGTTTCCTCCCATAGTCCTTATACATACTGGGTGGGTCGGTTGGCTTCTGGGGAAAATGATCCTGGTGCGAGTGTTTCTGTGCTTTTGTCTGTGTCTGCCTTATGATGGACTGGAGTCCAGGGTGTATCCTGCCTTTGTGCCTGTTGCTTGTCAGAATAGCTCCAGCACCCCCTCAGCTCTGAACGGGATGAAACAGTTGGAAGATGGATGGATTTTTGAATGCATATCAACTATTATTTTCAAATATGTGAAGATGGGAAATCAATATTCATCCCAGGTTTTATGTCCTAAATTGTGTTGAAAATGGATTTCAGTAATGTCTGCCTTGCATTGCGCTGTCCTGTAACTTCAGAATCCAACCTGTCAGTTACCAGCTCTCTTCCAAGCGTAAATAGTAATTATGAAAGCATAAGTAATGCCTCGTGTTCATATAACGTTTTCTGTCCCAGAAGAGACCAGAGCTCTTTACAGGTAGGAGGGGAATTGTTTCATCCTTTACAGAGGCACAGAACACAGCCCGGCCATTGTGTGCCAACCTCTCGTTACACAGCAGATAAGGTGGAGAAAGGAGGAGCTGTTGACATGGGGTTGCGGAACAGAATATGAAGATGTGCTGTTACTCTCTCCTGGGCCATTGCTTGTCCACGTTTTTCCCTTCCCTCCGGCCTGCTGGGGAGGAGTCAGTGCCTGAGGGCTGCGCTGTTCCTCAGCATCTCCCTGTGCCTTCCCAAAACTCCCAAACTGCCCTCCCCTGACTCTTGCTTCACATTCAGATTGCGCACTGCCTGCTCTTGTGTTGTGTCTGTTACCCGACGTCCCCTGTGCTTTGAAATCAGCTGTACTGGACTGCGTACACAACTACTTCCTGTTTTCCTCCTTGTTTCATTGGCAACTGCGAGACACCCACGACATACCCGAAAATAAATAGTCTCCCAGCTTTGTTTTTCATAGCTACCCTGAGGACGAATCAAGTATTTTGAATTGAGCTTAAGAAGTTTAGGAATGTTGCCTGCTCCTTGTGATGTTCTTGAGCTACTGTACCATGTGGTCGAACATTTAGGATGAAGGTGTGCGTAAGTTTCATAACTCTCTCTTCTTTCTGTTCCAGAAAGTGAAATGCATGGCTCTGGAAGAAGTGGTGATCCTCAATGTGGACACCAACACACTAGAAACACCGTTTGATGATCTTCAAAGTCTTCCTAATGATGTGGTTAGTAGGAGCCTCTCTTATTTTCCTGCTGTTGTGTACACCGAAACCTGTGTGCTCTCTGCTTACCTTGACCTCTTCACCTGCCTCCCTTTCCTGCATTTTAGAAGCAAAAAATAGGAGCCTTTTTTTTTTTAAAGATAATGGGCAAAGTGCTTTACAATTTTGCTACCATTTTGACAATTCTGTCCTGCTGGGCTCTTCCATTCATCTAAAATTGCAGAGCTTGTTTTCTTGTGGGCAGAGTAATTGAGGACAACAGGCTCTTTTCAAAATCCATTATGACTGTTTTCTTGGCCAAATTATTCCATCAATGGTCTTGCTCTTGTTTCTTTAGTGATGCATCAAGGTTTACTTAATTCATATTTAAATAACAGCAATGTGTTATTTGCAAGATAGCTGTTTCTATGTGGCTACAGATATATATGCTGTTTGCTTAGGACTATATTAGTGCCACCTGCTATTGAAGTAGTCTCTTAATTACAAGATCAAAGAGAAAGCGAAGGTGGTAAGTGTTTGGGAGCTGAAGCAACCAGCTATTTGCTTTGATCTAGATTGCGCTGTACTGAAAATATGACTAGGAGAAGAAAAAAAAGAAGTATTTTGTACATTTGTTGTTTTTTTTTTTGTTCTTTCAAACTCTTTTTTTATATATTTTGAAATGAAGAACGGCACATATTCATGGTTTTATTCAAAGGTTTCCGAGAGTAGAAAGAAAAACAGGCACCCTTTGAAGTAGGATGTGGATCTGACTTTCATAATGCCGCGAATGAATGAGAAGGGAAACGCTGATTTGAACGGAATGGATCCTTTGTGCTCTCTGAAAAGGTGGCATTGCTCATGTGATTGTTGTGCGAGGCTCTTAAATGTTATCTATAATAAGATGCTGCTTTGTGAGGTTGGTATATTCCCCCTGTCTGTTTGAAGTATAATTGTTTTCTATGATCAAGTGTCCACATCACTCCCAATTCCCAGTGCTTACAGGTAAAGGAGCTCGACATTTGTAGAACAAGATCTCAAGAGGCCAATCCTGCATTTCTTCCATGCTTTTAAAATACCAGTCTTTCTTAGCTTGAGTCAGAAAGAAAAGAAAGTTATTGTGTGAACAGCAATATACAAAGATGGTTGTATGTTATTTCTGAAGCTTCTGCCATACCTGAGTATTCCTTTGATAGACGGGGTGAATAAAGGTAGTAATTGTGTTGTTCCTGCTCAAGACAACTCAACCATACTGCATGTATCCCCTCCAACTCTGTTTGCTGTGTTTAACAAAATCGCATTTCGTTTCACATGTGTTGTTGCTGTACATAAAAACAACGTTACAGGGTAATGGCTTTAAGTAACCCATAGGGCTGTGGTCAAAATGACGGCTGCCATTACCTGCATAACTGCATAGGTAACTAGAGAACCTTGAGCAAAATAGTCTTGATCGTCAAATATGTGCTCTTGTAGTGTATTGAATGCAAAATATAAACTAGCAGATATTTAACTACAAATGAATGATGTGTAAAGAGACTGCCCAAAATAACGAAGCCAGATTCATGTCCTCCTGCATCCAGTAACAGCAGTGTTGTTTATCGCCGAACTTGCAGACCTGTTTTTTTTTAAATAGTTCAAGGCTTTTGTCACCAGACGTTTTCCTGGCAGCGTGGAACCACCAGCAGGACTTGGGAGTCAAGTTTGCTTTGTCAACAGTCAGATGTTGTATTTATTTTACAGGACTTAATTAAACCAAGAAATCCTGGATTACTGTATAACATCAGAAGCAACTCCACCAATAAATCCCCAAATACTTAGTGCTGAGGAATGTAGTAAAGCTTTAAAAGACTTCCTTCCTTTCATTATTTACTTTTATATTTTATAACAGTAGTAATTCTGGATTTATTAGTTTTAATTTCTTCGTTTTCCCTTTATATGCTGTAGAGGTAAACAGCCCATGAAAGGTATTCTTGTGCCTTTTTGCTGGGCTTAGTTCACAGGAGGTACAATTAAGCCATTAAGCAGTGGGATTTCTAAAAAATAACATTGAGGTAAAAATGCTGGACTCTTGTGAAAGGTTGGTGTGGTTCAGCAGTATGGCACTCCAGAATCTGTTGCTGTGGGAGGTTACAGTACATTGGGTGTATTGTGAATACTCTTTCCTCTCTCCACCTTACAACTGGTGGTATCCTATTAAATCCTAAGAGTTTACAGTGGTTATGAAATCATTCTTAAAAGAAAAAACGGAAAAGACGTGTTTTTTAAAAATGCTGTTGGTGATCATGTGTTGTAAATCTTCATGTACATTTTGTATCATTCTGTTCTGAAAATAAATTGGTAATATGTACCTAAATTTAAAAAACTTAAAACATGTTTAGTGTTTTAAAACTTTTCGAACACTTCTAGCAACAACTCCATTTAAATGCCACCTGATTCACCAGTATGCCAAAGCAAGACAGATACTTTTTTGTCTGTCCAATGTAGCATCTATTAAAAGTGAAATAGTGATGTTGTTATGTACTATTACTGCCTGCTTGCAGTCACACACCATGGGATATCATATATATAAAAAAGAAACATTTTTAATCTAAAATTTTAAAACACTGCTCCTGATATTAATGATTTTTCTTCTTATACAGACTTGTGCTGCTCTTTCAAACCCAGATTCTGATTCAAGTTCCAACGTTATCAACATGCATTACTGGATAACCTTTTTTTCTCAAAGGAATTATTATAAATGATCACTTTTCATTTTTTGTTATTGTGCTAACTTCTTTGCTTAGATTAAACACTAACAGCACACCTAATCATACTGTCTTTTTCAATTTAGACCATTCTTTTTTTTCTGAAATTTTTTTTCATATTTTACTCTTGATCACAACATTTGTTTTTTCCTTGTTTTTCACAGTATGTGGTCTTTACTTTTTGATTGAATGTTGCTGCCTTACTTGTCTTGTATTAAAACTGTCAGAAAAACCGCACAAACTGTCTGTGATTCAGCAGCAGAAAATTCCAGTGAGTCATTTTTAAAATGAACCTGATTCAGTGGGAACTATACAATCTGAAATGGTGCAAGTTTAAAATGATAAATATGTATTTTAATTAACACCCAACAAAATAATTTTAAATATGGAGTTGTGTTTCTGTTTCCTGACAAAAAAAATTCAGACATAATTGGACCTAACGGTAGTGTAGAGTATACAATTAAAAGGTCCCAAAGATTATAACAACAATGTCTGATTGTATAATTTGTTAAGCCTCTTTATACAAAATGGCTGAAACACTGAAACATATTCATCTACTGGACTCCTACTTGATCATGAAATTTGACATAGTGCTCCTCTTCATTGTAAAAATTAAGAATCGCTTTTTTAATAAAACTGTCTGTACCCAAGCCTATTTTTACTCACCAATCATCTATTGGGCTGCATCCAGTAGCACAAATGTATCTGCTTATTTGCAGAAACGAATGGCTTTTTTTAGTAATATTGCATTTTAATCAGAATACATTGCCATGACCAGAATGGACAAATATATCGAAAGCATCTTTTTATCTCTTTTCAATATATCTTTTAAGTGAATTACAATACAATATGTGAGCAATGAGAAGTCAGAAGAAGATGGAAACCAGCACTTGGTTGAATTATAATTGTCTCCACACTATAAATGTTCACATTATAAGAGAGAACCACAGGACGAGACCTATTTCTGATTGATTTTTAAACTGCAGAGTCTTGAACGTTCGTGAGATATGACAGCAGAGCATCTTGAGTCCAGTTTTGCAGTGGTCTGTATTGTCCAGGACTGCCTGCAATGTGAAGTCAACCTGTAGCCACACACGTCCTGTCATGTAATATTGTTTAATTACCGTTGCAGAATCCTTAGCTTCTACAGAAATCCGTTGTCATGTTTGAATTAAAAACAGAAAGAGAGTGCTACGTTTTGTTGTCGCTATAAATGATTTTTAAGACGATAGCAAGCGATAGCTTTGTATTTCATATAATTATTCAAAATGTCAAGATCGTTTTGTTAGCTGATAGAAGCCTTTGCTCTTTGCATCCCTCCTTTAGCAAGCGAGACATTTATTCTTTATTGATTACAAGCCGTTTAAAAAACCCAGGTTTTAGAAGGGAACAGGGCGACTTTCTGTGCTCTTTAACAAAAAGAGAAATGTCAAGAAACCTTCTTTTTGTTCATCCGTGGCTCAGCATCAAGTAGGGCAAGCATGAATACAAGAAGTAAAAGAAGGAAAATGCGTTTTTTCTGTTCCTGCTTGTGCGTGGTTATTATAATGGTTAAAGATTGGTTTTGCAGAGCTCATTCATGTAGAATAATATTTTTGTTTACTTTTGTTTGATTTGATCGCAGATAAGGAAAACTGATGTGATTTTACTTATGTATGAGGGAAGGAGGGCCGCACAGAGCTTATACACTAGTAACAAGGCCTTTTTTCATCTGTCAGGTTGTCTTTGAGCAGGGCAGCTATGTTTCCTCCTCCAGAAGGAGGGATCCGAGCTGGACCGGGCGGCTGAGACAGCTGTGGTGGGATGGACGAGGACTGTTGAGGCTCATTGTTTGATAACGCGGCTTGCCCGCGTCTCATTCCTCTGGGGCTTATTAGATGTGAATGGGAGAGGGTTGTTTTTCAAATACAGTTCGGCGTTTTAAAATAAAGCAATCCTTTAATGACATATTTCAAAGGTAATGTTTCTATGCCTTTGCCGTGCAGTGAACTGTGAACAGTGGTTTAAACTGTGTAATTTGCTCTTTCTGCGTCCTGAGGTTGGGTTCTGTGAGGTTGGAATTGTGAATTTATTTTTTTTTTCTTTTAAAAATGGATTTGTAAAGTGTATTCATTAATTATTTTGATACCCACTGACTACTTTTCTGATACACGAGTGCTGCTTTGGCCAGCCCCAGGTTGGCCTGGCTGAGGTGTGCTTTGTAAAAAATCTCCCCTAAGCATTCAAATGTACAGTATGTGATCCTCAAAGTGGCAAATTATCTAAATTATTCCAAACACC